TATATATATATATATATATATAGGATGTAGATGTTGTCAGTGCATCACTAACATCATGGTATATACTCAGGTCGCAATATAGATTTATGCAAAGTACAAAATTAATTTTCCTCAATACAAAAGGAAACTTTGGAAGGTTTCACTGCTATTGTTGCATCGCAATAATAAGACAGCAGGAAATATCACTCACTTGGCAAGGACAAAAAGTGTATAACGTAGTGTAATCATATCATCAGCTGTGTGCGCTTTATCAATTGCTTCAGCAGCTCACATTGCGTGATATTCTGTTAACTGACCACCAGATAAATTGATAGGAAAATCACGAACATAAGTCATTGGACCAGCAATAATCACTATCCAAATATTAACAAAACATTATATTTCATTAAATATTTACCTCAGGTGAGTGTATGATCAATACATCGTTGCTGTTGGTATTTACTTGCATGTCACCAACATGATTGATTTACGCACGAATGTTAAAAAAATAATTTAGTATTACTACATCACAATTACACAGGACAAAAAATGAAACAGTGTAACAATGTTTCGATTAAAATCATTTAATTACTTTTTCACAGCAATCAAATCGTTAAATGAAGGAAAATATACTCAATTTATAAATAATTCAATTAATCCGTTAGAGACTCGCTAAATCTAGTGGCTCATGCTTTCGGTCTCGAACATCTTTTAATTGTACAATGAGATTCATTTTTTAAACCAGGTGTGCCATGAATTCATATACTTTCTCGTATTATTTGGATCTTTTAAAAGTTTCAAAAATCTAGAGAATTCAACTAAAATGCGACCAGCACCATTTTTAAACATCAATTGTTTCAATTTAGAAAACACCTTAAACAAATAATTGGTGCCTTTGTGTGAAATTTTTATAATTTGACTGTACTTCAAGCTAAAATTACATGAAAACTATTTTTAAAACAAATTGTACCTGAACATACTTAAAGGATTTAATTTTTAAGAATTGATTTCATTAAGTACAAATCTGTCGTCAATATTTTACTGCAGTAGTGTTAATTTTTTGTAATTTTCGAAAACAGGCGCTTGCCGTTGACCACAGACGTTAATTTTTCGGCATGAAAAAAACACAAAAAGGTTCCGTCTGTGCAATGTGTTAAAGGAAGTAATTTACTACATGTATCAAGAAGATTTATTCACTCTCTCGATAGAGCACAATATATTTTTGTTTTTGACAAAAACAGCAGAATTCGACTACAGCATTACTATACTGTTTCTTTACTACGTAAGTAAGTAACCCAGGCAAGAAAGTTAAAACACGTCTTTAAGTACTTTATATGAAGTCACACGAAAAATGGACTGAATAAGCGATTTACAGTTAATAGATGTTCTTCAAATGTACCTACACTATATCTCAAGAACATTTTGTATATAATCGAACAAATGATTAGCTCTGTAAATTAGTACACTACAAAATCAAGGTTTATCTATATATTAACTTGTTTTTCTTTCTCAAATAAACACATTTGTATTTTCAAAGAATAGCGTTACGACCATATTACGCTTGAAATTAATATTTTTATTAGAATAAGGACTCAATTCGGCAAAAGAAATGACATTACTTCATTTCTATCTTGCATTCGCGTCAAATTTCTTGCTCGAGTTTCGGTTGTAAAATATGAGATGTCATTAATAACGAACTTCTGGAAGCTTGGTAATATATCTTCTTTTCCAAAGGGGTAATTTGTTACAAGCCATTTCATTAAATTATATGAATCATTCTCATCTAAGACCAAACTTCAAGAGCAGTTTCCTTTTTCCTTTACAACAGATTTACGTTACATTTGTGAGATGTGCAATGTCAAAGGAATTGCCCAACTCACACAGATATCAAATAAAAAAGTTATTTAAGTCTTCAAATAATATTAGTAAATTTACTATTTCAGTAGAAGTATTAAAAATAACGCATTTTTAAGAATATACTATATTTTAAATGCTAAAACTTCAATAATTTTTCACACTAAGAAAACGCAAAGTGTGAAATAAAAACGTTAGGAAAACACTGTCCGTGATTTCGTGAATAATTAACTTACACATCGGGATCTTCTTTATTAAAACAATAAATAAGTGATCATAATTAATATGACATTGATATCAATACCATCGTGAACATACAAGAAATATGATTTCATACCTATTTATTCGGTCTCAATTAATAATTCAGGAGATTGGTAACTTTAAACCATTTTTAAAACGTAATGTTTAAGATCCTTTCAGATAGGAGTCATACAGTTTTATTGATTAATTCAATATACTACTGTGCATGTTTTGTGTATCTTTAATACACTTCTTCATCGTTAGACATTCAAAACAATGTTTCACGTGTGACACTAAATATCATAAGCAAATGTGTTATATACTCTTGGATCTATCACAAACCTGCCAAAAGTATGAAACATACCATCGAATTTTAGTAAGCTCAGTCGCTGTAATGTGTTAAGAATTAAAATTCAGCTCAGTCAAATGTTTGCTGGCACGACCCGTATTTATATAAAAGGATGAGATACGGTAAATCTGTCATATTGTTTGCCTTTGGGACAATTTTTGAAACATGGCTAATGCGGCAAATGCAAAACAAATGGAGGTTATTGAACTGTTTGCGTTATTCGACAGCTACAAGTGGAATGCAAACCCAGCCCGTTTGTTTGTTCGAATTCCAAACAATATCTTTCAAAGTTGTATGATAACACTTCACTACAAATAAATAATTAAAATAAAGAGAGCTAATTTAAGATAAATAAGGAAATAAAAATATTCGACAACGCAAAGAAAAACAACACAAAATAATTCTGTTCCTTTATATCATCCACGTCATTGTAGTGAATTTGTGAGTTGTTATTGTTTCAGTTTACTAAAAGTCAGAAAAGTGTAAAAATTTAATAAAAATAAATAGATAACGTGATCCGAAGTAGAATAATACTTCAAAATTATGCATCATTATAAATTAAAATACATTTTTAATATAATATTTTATAATATGTACATTACTTTTTGCTGTATTTCGTACTTCAGTATTATTAGCTGTGACTTTATTGTTGGTGTTGCATTTTTAGATATATTTAATGAAATAGAAATACTGAATACAATCGATGCAGCACTAAAAATAAAATGAACCCTGAATACACAGCATTACTAGGTGGCGAATAACATGAAAACGGTTAAAGTACCAGAGAAAATAAAATGGAAGATGATGTTTGTGCTATATCGTATCCCCGAAACAGTAACATAAGATATGGTCTTCCGTATGTGCCCTTGCCACTGCTATCGATGTCCCTATCGGTAAGATTTCCACGAAAATATTCAGTTCTTTACACCCAGTACTGCAACTGCATCTGCAATACTGCAACTTTCCGTCGATCATGTACAGTATGTAGTCAAAATTGTACGTCCAAAATGGTGTTATGTTTTTCATGGAGAGGGCTTGCATCCCTGTGGCACTATCACGGCACAGACCTACGTTGATGTTTTAAACACCTTCTTGCTTCGCATTGCTGAAGAGCAATTCGGGGATGGCGATAGCATCTTTCAACACGATCGAGCACCTGTTCATACTGCACGGTCTGTGTCGGAGTGGTTACACGACAATAACATCCCTGTAATGGACTATCCTGCACCCTGTCCTGCCTTGAATCCTATCGAACACCTTTGGGATGTTTTGGAACGCTAACTTCGTGCCAGGCCTCACCGACCCACATCGATATCTCTCCTCACTGCAGCACTCTGTGAAGAAAGGGCTGCCAGTCTCAGCACCTAATTGAAAGTATGCCGGCGAGAGTGGAAGATATCATCAAGTCTAAGGGTGGGAGAACGCTCTACTAAATTACAGTATAACCCATGGAGGGCACCACGAACTGGTACGTAATTTTCGGTATCCGGATTCTTTTGATCACAGTGTATTTTCGACAGAGGCGAAATAACGGACGTGACTGCCAGGAGAAACATTCTAGAGGTCGAAGGCCCTGCTCGACCCTATTTACTTTTTCCTACGAACTACAAGTTTTGCCAAAAGCAGCCAGTTCTTTAGAGAACGGCCGTATCTACTTGGTTGCCCGGGAGAGGTGCTAGGTACAGACGCCTAGGAGATACTAACAATACTACGTACCTTACCGCCACGTGGAAGTTATGCACTAACAGTCACGTGACCGACCTTGAAGTCATGACTTTGCGGAAGGCCACAATATCTAAAACTCTGTACATAAATGTAGATTTCTTATACTCTTAGCTCCTATAGTTGTTCATGTACCTCACTACTAGTCTACACTATTCGGTAAATTATGCAACTGCATTGTTCAACGCTTGAAATGCTTCTTTTGTTATAATGCAAAATTGCAATTGCTAAAACTCTTCCGAACGTCCTTCATTACGGCCGTATAAAAGTCATTATTCGCGTGATCAATAGCGTTTAAAGATGTCTCCTAAAGATGCCTGACGCTAAACTTTCCAAATAAATCCGACCGCAGAAGACTACGCTTCCATTGGACTACGGCACGCTCACGCATTGCTACCTAGTATCTCTTCGCTGTACCTGGCGTCTCGCTCCTCACGTGAGTGCCTTGCAAGTACGCAACCATCAAGCCAGACCACGGCCTGGGTTATTGAGTCAAAAGTGTAGAA